TTTTGCTTTATTTGAGGGCAATAGTAATATAAAAGAGAAAATAAGAAAAGTCTCTGAAATGAGCAACAAATGTTTCCTGTTTTTTTAAAGTTCAACATTTTTATTGCTGTACTTGCATCTTTGAACAGAAATCCGGCACACTGCTCATGCTCAGCTTCACAATTTATTAGTAACACTAATGTTTCAGCCTTCCCGGACTAAAACATTAGTGTTGCTAATATTATTATTATATAATATTACGAGAATAAAGTTGAAATATTATGAGAATAAACTCATAACTTTAGGAGGAAAAAGTCACAGATTAAGACCAGAAAGCCGGTAACATGGTATAAAAAGGGACAAAGTGTGTACACAGCAGTACTTAAGTAATAACTAACTCCTGCACAGAACATGAGTTCATGTCATTTGACAAATTATTTCCAGGAAGTTACAATATATAGGCTAACTGTAATATTTTGCAATAAATTACATTATTATCACCATGCAGGCTTTTACTGTGATATTTAACCAAATTCAGAATTTTATTGTGAAATTCATGCAGGTAAATATAATGATTTTGCTGCTGAATCACAGTAATATGCAGGTATAATTTCAGTGAGATGACAGTATATACAGCTGTCTGTTCACAATAACTTACTGTGAAAGTGATGCAACTAGTTGCCAATAATTTACTTCAAATGTAGAGTCAAATATTTTACAGTGTATCTGTACTTTTACTCACGTGTGGCTTTCAGGGACGTCATCCAACACGAACAAACACTGGCTCTATTCGTGTTTTAACATTGACCACTGTATTCAAAGACCTCCTGACTGATTTTTAACATTAAACGTTTTATTCAGAGTTTTTCCTGGTGTGAATCAGCTGGTCTGTTTGTTTCTGAGAGGAGGAGACTCTGTGGATAATTCAGCTCCTGAACAATGAACACTGAAGGAATTCTAACCAGGAGAAGTTTCAGATGGTTGTAATCTGTAATCTGTAATCTGTAATCCTCAAGACTAAACGTCACTAAATCCTCCTGAATCAGACACACTGGATCTTTAAAATATTTAGTTTTCATCTTCAGGCCACTTCCACACTTCTAAGATACGATAATCCTTTATAAGTCCCACAGTGTGAAATTTGCAAAACAAACATGAGTTCACCAGAGTTTTTACAGAAAACACGATCATTTACATTCACAAACTTCTCATCATGCATTGTGTGAGAGTAAAAACTCTGCAGAGACAGTTTGTAGTTTAAAGAAAACAGACATGACGGGAACTTTCTGTTTGTCTTTAATACGTGTTAAATGAAGGCAGCGTAGGAACTTGTGTTTTACAATGTTAAAATTACGTATCAGAAAACAGAGACATAATAAAGTCTGATGATGAAATCAAAATCATTTACAAGACATTTACTGAGTGGAGCAGTCAGCTAAGGTGGATCTGACAGTGGTGGAAGAAGGACTTAGATCTTTTACCCCAGCATTCAAAATCCAGCTCAAGTTAAAGTATGTAAGTTACAAGGGACGACTCTCACCTATGGTCATGAGCTCTGGGTAGTGACTGAAAGAATGAGGTCACAGATACAAGCGTCTGAAATGAGTTTCCTCTGTAGGGTGTCTGGGCTCAGCCTTAGAGATAGGGGGAGGAGTCAGACATCTGGAGGGAGCTCGGAGTAGAGCCGCTGCTCCTTCATGTTGAGGTGGTTCAACATCTGATCAGGATCCTCCTGGTCCAGCTGGTAGGAGGCCCCGGGGCAGACCCACAACACACTGGAGGGATTATAGATCTCATCTGGTCTGGGAACACCTCGGGGTCCTCCAGGAGGAGCTGGAGAGTGTTGCCGGGTTTGCTTGGCCCACTGTCCCCGCGACCCGGCCCCGGATACGCAGATGAAAATGGATGGATGAGTATATCACACAGAAAGCGTTTTATCAGCTGGAGGCGTTTTTTTCTTATTGTTTTTACTGAGAATTAAACTTTTTGCTCATTTTTGCGTTGCTATGCGCCTCGTGTTTCTGTGCTCTATGTGTTTGGTGTTTTTGCCAGAGCGCCCTGAACTCCTCGAGTTGAAGAAAGTTCAATTCAGAGCACCCAATGGAATGATTTGAGAGGCAGGCCTCTTTACAAAGTTTACCAAGTTTACAGTTGGTAAACAATGGAGGAGAAACTGGTGGTAGTGGTTGCTGGATACCCAGAGCTATACGGCCTGATGATAGACAGCAGGTTGTCAAACTGCCCCTGAGTCATCCTAAAATCTGCCTGTAAACGTCCATGATGGAGGAGAAGCTGCTGGACCAACTGGTGGTACTCCCCATGATCCATCCTCTTTTTTAGGGTCTCATGTACCCACACAGATCTCTGTTTATCTGCTGACAGCCTCTCACCCTCAACCAGAGCTACACACAGTACCCTCTGCCTCAACATGGCAGCAGCTACACACTGATTACTGCAGGATACATAAGCAGTTAATTGATTACACAGGAAGGTTAGGGTGAGGAGGTGATAGGGTGGTTGTCTGGCAACAATAAAAAGGTGCAGCAAGTGTTTTTAATAGTGGCATTCAATTAAAAAAAAAGAAAAAGAAAAGGCAATGCCGTGCGCCTCACATTTTGCAACCTGCAAAACCTTTTCTGTGTGATCGAGGCCTAACTCTGCATCTGATTGGCTCCCTCTGACATCCTGACCCTATCAAACCAATCTCACTTCTCCTCCATGAACTTAACCAACCAAAACAATCAAAGGCAACGAGTGCAGTCAGAGGGAGAGCAGGGCGGCTCGTTCCTTTGCTTCCTAGGAAACACAAATTTCATTTTAAGGTACGTCATCACCATGTTTCTTTTCTACAACCTAACCTGTGTAACTTTTCATTGGTAATGGGGCACCATTTAACTACAACAGTGACTGGCTGCGTATCATGGTGACATGAAAGCACAGCACTAATTTATAGGAACATAGGAACCGCTGTGTGAGGATACGTTGGCTATTTAGAGCCATCCACCAAACCAAGAGGCAGAACCTGATTTAAAGTTGAAATAATTAAAGCTGGTGGTCAGAACATAAAACTGTGTGAGAGTTTCTATGTTCTGTAATATCGAGGAGGTGATTGAAAGAAAACCTTTAAATGGGAAAAACACTTTCAGAACCAGTAACTCTTCCAACTCTCTAAAGTCCAGTTCAGACCAAAGATTCACGACAAGACGAAACCTTTTTATATATACAGTACAGGCCAAAAGTTTGGACACACCTTCTCATTCAATGCGTTTTCTTTATTTTCATGACTATTTACATTGTAGATTCTCACTGAAGGCATCAAAACTATGAATGAACACATGTGGAGTTATGTACTTAACAAAAAAAGGTGAAATAACTGAAAACATGTTTTATATTCTAGTTTCTTCAAAATAGCCACCCTTTGCTCTGATTACTGCTTTGCACACTCTTGGCATTCTCTCCATGAGCTTCAAGAGGTAGTCACCTGAAATGGTTTCCACTTCACAGGTGTGCCTTATCAGGGTTAATTAGTGGAATTTCTTGCTTTATCAATGGGGTTGGGACCATCAGTTGTGTTGTGCAGAAGTCAGGTTAATACACAGCCGACAGCCCTATTGGACAACTGTTAAAATTCATATTATGGCAAGAACCAATCAGCTAACTAAAGAAAAACCAGTGGCCATCATTACTTTAAGAAATGAAGGTCAGTCAGTCCGGAAAATTGCAAAAACTTTAAATGTGTCCCCAAGTGGAGTCGCAAAAACCATCAAGCGCTACAACAAAACTGGCACACATGAGGACCGACCCAGGAAAGGAAGACCAAGAGTCACCTCTGCTTCTGAGGATAAGTTCATCCGAGTCACCAGCCTCAGAAATGGCAAGTTAACAGCAGCTCAGATCAGAGACCAGATGAATGCCACACAGAGTTCTAGCAGCAGACCCATCTCTAGAACAACTGTTAAGAGGAGACTGCGCCAATCAGGCCTTCATGGTCAAATAGCTGCTAGGAAACCACTGCTAAGGAGAGGCAACAAGCAGAAGAGATTTGTTTGGGCCAAGAAACACAAGGAATGGACATTAGACCAGTGGAAATCTGTGCTTTGGTCTGATGAGTCCAAATTTGAGATCTTTGGTTCCAACCGCCGTGTCTTTGTGAGACGCAGAAAAGGTGAACGGATGGATTCCACATGCCTGGTTCCCACTGTGAAGCATGGAGGAGGAGGTGTGATGGTGTGGGGGTGTTTTGCTGGTGACACTGTTGGGGATTTATTCAAAATTGAAGGCACACTGAACCAGCATGGCTACCACAGCATCCTGCAGCAACATGCCATCCCATCCGGTTTGCGTTTAGTTGGACGATCATTTATTTTTCAACAGGACAATGACCCCAAACACACCTCCAGGCTGTGTAAGGGCTATTTGACCAAGAAGGAGAGTGATGGAGTGCTGCGGCAGATGACCTGGCCTCCACAGTCACCGGACCTGAACCCAAATGAGATGGTTTGGGGTGAGCTGGACCGCAGAGTGAAGGCAAAGGGGCCAACAAGTGCTAAACACCTCTGGGAACTCCTTCAAGACTGTTGGAAAACCATTTCAGGTGAAGCTCATGGAGAGAATGCCAAGAGTGTGCAAAGCAGTAATCAGAGCAAAGGGTGGCTATTTTGAAGAAACTAGAATATAAAACATGTTTTCAGTTATTTCACCTTTTTTTGTTAAGTACATAACTCCACATGTGTTCATTCATAGTTTTGATGCCTTCAGTGAGAATCTACAATGTAAATAGTCATGAAAATAAAGAAAACGCATTGAATGAGAAGGTGTGTCCAAACTTTTGGCCTGTACTGTATATCACTTCCTGTCGACGTTACAGATCAGAAGCACAGAGAGTCGTTGACTAGAGATGATACACCGTCTCGTCGTGAATCTTTGGCCTGAAGTGGACTTTACGTTAAGCACGTTTGTCCTGAGGAGTCTGTTCCTGATCATGTCTTGCAGGGCATCAGATATACAGAAACATAAACATGTTGCTGTCACATGACTTTATTTTCCTCTGTGGGTGAGAAAACATTTCTGAAAGAGGCAGAATAAATCTTTTTTTAAATGCATCATCATCATCAAGCAAAAAACAAATATCTGGAAACTTGATTTACCCTGAACATCATGAATTAAGTAGCTTTAGAGTTAAAAAACAAAGATATGTTTCACACTGTCTGACAGTATCGTCTCGTCTGCTCGCTGCAGCTCTTTACTGAAGCTACATCAGTTGTACAGCTGCATCGTTCCATCAGATGGAAACAAGAATATCAAGTTCAGCAGAAAAGTTTGGAGAAAAGTCCGCAGTGATTTGGACTCGTTGCAGTCAAACAGTTAGCTGTTAACGTGCAACCAGGCTGACGTCCCAGCAAGCAAACATCTGACCACAATCATCTGCAACTCTCTGTGACGTCGCCCAACGATATTTTCTCACACTGTCAACGAGCTTTAAGAGGACGACAGAAATACGGCAGGAGGTGATGAAAACAGTTTCTCAGTCCATCGGGGAGAATTTTTTTAGTCCAGATCCCCAACGCCAGCGTCCGATGAAACATCTCGTATCCTCCTCTCAGTACTCCTCTTTGATGTTCAGAGGCAGGGAGGAAGGCGACACCAACCCATTGCTGCCGCTGCTGCTCGTCACCATGCCGACGCTGTTCCCGCCATTTCCGTGCAGGCCGCCACCGCCACCTCCTCCTCCGCTGCTGTTGCTGCCGGTGGGAGGCGTGGGTGTGGTGGTGGAGGAGGCCGGCTGCTGGAGCTTCTTCTTGTTGATCTTGCGCTCTTTGGCCCGACGATTCTGGAACCAGATCTTCACCTGGAGCAGAACAGAAGACATTTTTATTTATGCTTTAAGAAATCATGTTCGTATAATAACAGGATATCTGCAGGATTCTGGAAAACATGAAAAACTATGTGACACCTAAAGTACCAGTTCAGTGTTTTTGCATGTTTTAACCTGTTTACTATTAATAACATAGACACACTGTATTTTGGACACTTGACCTTTAAATGTAAATTAATTATAAAAATAATAAACTTTATTTTTATAGCAACTTCCATACAAGAAATGCAGCACACAGTGCTTTACAGTAAAGGCAATATAAGCACCAAGTGCTTCACGTCATGAGATGAAATAAATCCTAAAAAGTCATAAATCATGACATCACCAAATCATTGAGTTGTAAAACTATAAATCATAAAATCAAGTAAGATTTTAAAAGTGTTGCAGCAGCATGAAGCGTAAAAAGAGTTTCAGACCTGTATGAGGAAGTCAGAGCGAGTTAAAGTCTGAAGTGAACAGATATGTTTTTCTATTGTTTTTCTATTGACAATTTGAAGACAATTTGACATGGTGGCCAAAAGCTGAACTACGCCGTCAGGACCCGTCACGTGATGCTACTAGGGCCAAAACGACTATTTCCCATAGACACAGACTGTGAAAGAGACGTCTATAATTATGTTTGGGGTTTTTTAGCATCACAACCCTCAAAAAAAGACTTGTTTCACTATCAGTGTTTGGCCTGACATCATTTGGATAGCCTAGAAAAGTTGCAAGACTGAATACTTTTATCCCCATTCAAGTTAGCAGAGCGCTAAACCTGAAAGTAGCTGCTCAGCCACACTCAGTCTTTGTTAGTCTTTAGTGCACTTTCTCAATGTGAAAGATCCGGGTACTGTTTTTAGTAGGCTACTGTGGATATTAAGCCCTTTGGTTTCATGTGCCACTGAACAACTTTAATAGGAATGAACGCAACCCAGCCTCCAACACTGTATCCAGGTGTCTTAATACATCCACGGATTGTTAGCAATTAGAGAAATAAAATAAAGCTAGAAATTTAATTTTTTTAAATCAAAGGTGTCAAAGGTTAAACGCAATAATAATCACGTGATTACTTTAAATCTCAAACATGTCGTACTTCGTATAAGATCCAATAAAAATGCATTAAAACAGTTCTGATCAGTAACATGGTTTTATATTAGCCTCGTGTGTGTTGGCGTACCTGTCTCTCTGACAGACCCAGCGATGTGGCGAGCTCCGCCTTCCTCCTGATGGTGATGTATTTGCTGTAGTGAAACTCTTTCTCCAGCTCCAGACGCTGGTGGTCCGTGTAAACCACCCGGTACTTGTCCTTAGTCCGCGTCTTTCCATCTGTAAAACATACAAACATAACCATGTTAAAGGAAATAAAAAAAGTGTTGCACTCAGAGCTGTATTAGTGGTAGTGGTAGCTAAGAGTATCACCAAGAACACGAATAAAAGTGTTTCCAAAAATCTCAAACAAAAAAACTGCAATGTAAAGAAACAACTAATCTTGAGGACACATCAGTGAGTTTGGCGACGTGATCCTGAGTTAACTTTATCAAGAAGGACAAAGCCGCTAACATCAGCCTAAATTCTGATAAGTGTCCAGAACCAGCTCCCACACAGTGGTCCAGTTATAGCTAACTGATGATCCACTAACTTTTTGCCTTCAAAGTAACGCTACGTTACCACCGTAGTCAGTAAGCTAGCCTGCTAAAATTACCAGCTCCACTCTTATTACAGTCACATCATTAAAGAGCAGGACAAACCCGCTATAGTTAGCCTAAACTCTGATGTAGCATTTAGAAGCATCCAAAACCAAACAGTGTGTATTCCCGGCATAGCCCTCAACCACACGAAAACATCAGCTAGCTAATGATATGCTACTCTTTACCTGGATGTAATGCTACTACTGTAGGAAGTGTCCTAAGCTAGTTAGCCAGGCCTGTTAACACTGGCATCTCATAGTGGAGCAGACACATTGTTTAATTTGCTCTTTATAGTTTTAATCTTTTGTTTTTGCTTTTTGAAAGGCTAAAGCCCTGAACATACTCCGCAGGAACAGAGACATTTGTTCTTTTTCTCGAGGTGGCAAGAACAAGAACAAAGTTCTTTCTGGCCAGGACATTTCATACTTCAGGAGGAACTCCTGCAGAACTCCTGGGGAGTCCTCATAGGCCCCTCCCACTGCCACATACATCACACGCGCTTTTCCACATTAACCACGCCCACTTCAAATTTCTGACCAATCACAGAATAGTTCTCGGAATCACACAAGAAAAAGTTCTACCCAGATGATGTGTCAAGAACAAGCTGCAAGAACTCCCAAACCAGGGCTGCAAGAATAAAATGACATCATTCTTTTGTACATGTACAGGCCTTAATTAAAGACTATAACCTCCAAACTCCTTACACAGAGTAGCCTATGACCGTTTACAACATGATTAAGGGACAGGACAAAGCCGCTAATGTTAGCCTTTATTAACATCCAGAACCAGCTCCCAAACAATTTGTGTTCCTAATCTGTGACCTATACTATAGTTAGCTAATGATATGCTAACTCTTTGCCTCATAATAAATGCTAGGTTACTGTTGTAGGAAGTATCCTAAGATCGTTAACCAGGCCTGATAACATCAGCATCTTATTTTAAAACAGACTCACTGTTGAATCCATTTTTTACAGTTTTACTCTTTCTGTTTGTTTTTGGAAAGGTTAAGAAATAGACACAAACCTCAAGTTCTATACAGAGTAGCCTAACATTTAAAACATGATTACAGAACAAGACGAAGCTGCTAATGTTAGCCTAAATGCTGATTGAGATAGCACGTATCAGCACCAAGATAATTTATTAAGCTAATGTTATGCTAACTAATGCTACGTTACTACTGTAGGCTAGGCAGTGAGCTAGTTAGCCAGGCTTGTTAACATTAGTGTCTGTTAGAGCAAACACACTGTCTGGTGGTTTTTGGGAGGTTTTAGTTTTAGAAAAGTTTTGAAAACACATATCACGGTCACAAAAATCACACCGTCTGTTAGCATGTAAAAATGTGAATGAAGCATAGGGACTGGTAGTATTTTATATTATGTGTTATAAACCACTCATATAAAGAGACATCAGTACAGTTCCTGAACAGACTGATGGATCTGTGTGTTCGCACCATGACTCCTGTATTCAAATAGATGACCTGCCTCAGGTGGATTTGCATAAACTGAACTCATATCAGCTTCATTCATTTATGGACACAGTGTTCATGTGTTACTGTTTAACTCTGTCACACGGTCCAGCTGTTAAAACTGAAGCTCTTACTAATGATCGCTAAACTTTATTAAACTCAGTGAGCTTTGTGAGTGGGAATCCAGAACGTTTCCAAAAATACTGAATGTGTAAAACTAAATTTAATGAAGGTGCATTGTGCACAAGACATCAGGAATATTTCCAACACTCCTTTAGACACTGAAGATTATTTAGCACGAATAGCAGAGAACACTGAGACGCTGTTTGTTTGACAGTGCAATTAATGATGCATTTGAGACTTGCAGTTGCTTTGAAATGTAACTCCACAGTGTCACAGTGACGCAGACCTCCTGTCTGTCTCTGTAAGCTGAAACCATTTCCCTCAGTGGAAACAAAGCTTTGATTTACTTTAATTTCACAGATAAGAAACAATAAATTGTGAAGACAATAAAGCCTCCACACACTGTGTGTGATTTATCCTGGCTGAAATATGAGCAGAGGAAATCTCTGCTAGCTGCTAGGCTAATTTATACAATGTAAAATGCCATAGGCTTGTGCTAATAACGTTAGCATGTTGTATTTGTGGGGAAAATGTGTCCAGATAAAGACAAGTGTTTGTCTGTGAATGCTGCGAGTTATAGTGAAGCTGATTTGTGTTTGAAACTGTCTCTATGAAGCCATGTTTAATGTGTGTTTAATGTGTGTTTAATGTGTGTCACAGAAACCTCCACTGCTCACTAGTGTTTTGGAGGTGTAACTGCAGAGTGACACAGACACACCAATGCACAAGTATAGATGCTCACAACAGCGTAGGTGAAGTGCGTAGGGTCTGCTGCACAAATCCCCCCTAATGGATGTTGCCTTCATCTATGGGACGCCTGCTCTACCCACTCACCCACTAGGTGCCCCCAGTTGTTAACTGTTTCCTGTTTGCGAGGGAGTTATTTTGCTCTGATTAATCAGTGGTGTGTTACGTAGGCCTATTCGTCCTGTCAACACTCCCATCAACAGCAAACACAGTATGATACGTAGCGCGTCGCAGGTAGACCTGACCGACACTGAGCGAGTGGTGCTATGTGACGAGCTGGGATGAGAACGAGTTGGTTTTCTCCTGCTGATGGGAAAGCAGTCTGTTTTTCATAGGTTTTCTCGTATTTAGAAAAACCGTCGTACACACACCAATTCTGGGTGGAAAAGGGGGATTACAGAGCAGTGAGCGTCACTGTAGACTCTCAGTCTGGTTTCATGACATTTTTGAAACAAACAAAAAAAGATGAAAATCAGCACCAGAATCACCGAGTTAAACACCTGCTAATGTGTCGCTAACGATTTAATTAAAGGACCTACAACAGTCACACGTCTGCACTGAACTTAAATCAGCAGCTACTGATTGGTCCAAAGGTCTGGGACAGAACAAACTGTCCTAAACAGAAAGCAGCAGAAACTCATCTGCAGACACAAACTGAGACCTCAGAAATAAAAGGCAGACAGAATGTCAAAACCCTGTGGAGGTAAATGTTGGACTCTCAGCTTCATTAAAGAGCCTTCAGCTCTCTTTAACACGCTCTGATTCAGTATTAACACTAAACACACACCAGTTTCTATAAGTGATGTGTCTTTAAACACACACACCGTCTGTCCTCTGATGGGGGACATCTGTCCCAACTTTCTGCTTCATTTGTCAGAAAGTAAAAACCTCCATCGTCAGATAACGAGCCGAGAGAGACGAGACGCTAATGAAGGAGCGTAAATCACAGAGCTCTTCAGTCTGTCTCTGCGGACGGAGACGAAGACGGAGACAGACAGAGGACTTACATTTATTCAGCACATTTACAGAAATATCTAGAACGTTTCTGTTCTCTCTCAGGCTGCAACTTATTGTGTTATTGAAGCTGAAATTATTTTCACATCATTTTTATCATTTAGTGTCATTACAGAGTGAATTATACTCTGTGTTTTCATATATCTGATGATGCAGAGACATAATCTGACAGCAGTTTGGACTCCTGAAGTGTTTGGTTAAATTTTCATTTATTCGTCCATGCAGGCGACAGTTGGTGAAACTCCCTGATCATTTAAAATCAGCTTACTCACAGTGTTGTTTTAGAGTTTATTAAACACTTTAAACATGTTCATCAATATTTACGGCAGCCTTTAGCCGTGTTTAAAGTTTTACAGAGACATTATAAAATCAAAATATTCAGTGACTCAGACACCTGAGACTTTACTGTTGAGAGAAATAAACTAATTTCCCCAAATGTTGAATTGCTCCTTTAAAATAAAGCAGCTTCACTTTATGAGTCGTTGAAACAGAAACACTGAAAGTCAAAAGTCCCCCAGCAGTCAAATGTACCTACAGACAAACGGCAAACATGGCGTGCACCAAAAATATTCGACAGTTTCTACAGTCAGGCTTCCACCTCACCATCGATGCCAATTTCCCGCCTCCAAAAACATTTTTTCCATCAAGTCTGTTTTTATACATCACAACTTCTCTGAAGTGGCGTGCGCCTCTCTCTGGCCTCGTCATGTGCGTACACAGTGTTTGTAAATGACACCTCCAGGAACACAAAGTCGCTCTGATTTAGTGCCGCTTTTTGTCCTGAACTGTCAGAATCACTCAGTTACATCCTGAAAATATCAGAATGAGCCTTTAAAACCCAAAAAACCTCCCTCAGGTAAAACCACTGATATTTACCAGAAGATAGTACATGAGGGGAGTACATGAAGAGTATCAGTCATGAATGTTTTTTACTGCGTTCCTCTCCTGTTGAACAGCTCACAGCATCTCAGATTTTTCACTGAGCTCGTTTAGTATCAGGAGCCCTTTTTAAACAGGAGTTGTGCAAATTTGCAGGAAAGCCCAATCAGTCTTTTTTCAGCATTGGCAGTATAAAAACAAAATCGGGGAGTGCAGCAAAATGCCGCCTACCTACTTTTGTTTATACAGAATGCTTCTTTTTCGGGGCAATGGGGGGCGTGAGCAAGTAACAAAACGTGTAGCTCAGCGTGTGACGTAAACAGTGACGTGGGAGGGAAGCCGCGGCTGGTCAGTCCTTCGGCGATTCTCTCGTAAGTCGGCCCGTTCTTCACCGTCCCCGTCATCTGACGGTTAATGGCCTCTTCGTTTGCGAGGACAAGGAGGGCGCGCAATTCCTTGTCTCCCCAGTTGCTCATCTTTACGGTCCATACATTATTACTATCCACCACCAGTGGCTCGCACGTGCGGCGTCATCAACAGCACCTCCAGTTGCAGAAGGCCGCCTCGGTCTGTTTAAACTAAAAGTGTTCCACCAATATGTCTACCCTACGAGGAGGAAAATTGGGCACCTCGGATCAACTCGCCAATCCGGCTCTGTGTGTCTAAACACTCGCAGCTTGCCGGCAAAACGGCCCAACATTCGCCAAAAATCTGGCAGTGTAAAAGGAGCTAATAATTATCAGGACAATGAGTTCTGATTTAAACATTCAGCTCTGACACTTTCAGACAGAAACACAGGCTCATCAGAGTAACGTTAACAGATGTACTGAGAACACCATAAAGTCACAGTATTTATAGTCTCAAAACTATAAACAAACACATGTCAGTATTCAAACTACACCAGATTCATTTTTCACTGTTAATGGACAGAAGTGTATCAGCAGAAAAAGTGCACAAGTATCGTCAGCTTCATGCAGTAACAGCACATGGTGACATGTGATTGTGTGACGTCATTGGTGTCGGAGCAGTGTGGAGACAGTTTGAGGTACTTTGTGTACAGTTAGTTAGTCTGGTTCCCAACATGAGGGGTAGGGCCCCTCCAGAGGGTCGACAGGTAAATCTGAGGGGTCGTCACGTGATTGACGAGAGAACAAACACACGTGGTTACGTTTAGGAATAAAGAACAGGGTTTGGCTTTACAATCTTACAGGAAGTGTTCACTGGCTTTCTGACTTTCTCTGCATTTACTTTCGTTACACCGTGTTATCTCTTCACACCGCAGGGTGCCGTTCAACAACAACAGCAACCTGCCGCCCAACATGCCAACGTGAGAGGACGTCTTTTTTCATCACTGTCTGACACTGGAGGTCACTGCCCAAGTGCCGGATTCTGACGACTTGGGAGTGAGACCGGCTTGGACAGGTCATGCAGACGTGTCTCTGTAAAGGCTCCAGCAGCTGCTGAAAAACGCCAACCTGGCCTCACTCTGAAGTCGTCGAAAATCAGCATTTGGTCAATGAGTTCTGGTGTCAGACACCAACGAAAAAACAACCACCGACTTTCACCAGGAAGCTGGTGTTCACTTCCTGTAAGATTGTAAAGCCAAACCCATGTTCTTTGTCTGGAAGAGACACTCCTGACTTTGACCCAACTCCTCTGTGAGACGCTCAGAGTGACAGATGTGATATACAGAGTGAGAAAATCCTCGATGGGTCAAACATGCGCCAGACTTTGACCCAGGAGTCAGAACCTGAACCTCCACCAACACCTTTGACACCCAAATACAACAGCCTGACTTCTGTCCACATCTCACCCCAGAAGACAAGAGACACGACAAGAGACACGACACACTGACTTCACAGAGGCACCAGCTGAGAGTCACTACATTTATTCAAGCACTGAAGTACAAGTTTTATGTACATGTACTTCAGTGGAGTGTTTCCACGTGGCTTCATCTCAGAGAGAAATACTTTTACTACGCTCTGTTCATCTGACTGCTTTAGTGACTCAACAGATTCAGATTATTGATGCAATATATGATCAATAATCAATGATGATGTATTATTACAGATAATAAAGTCATATCAGTTCCACCTTCACATCAGTAATATCAGAGATTACTCTGAATGAGTAAGAGTACTATCAGCTTTAAGTAGTTCGAGTACACAAGTGTTCTCACTGTCAGGCTGATCACAGAGGAGCTCCTGTGTCACTGTGGACTTTATATTAACCTGTTGGTGACTGATGATCAGGTTCACACTGATCAATAAAAATCTGCTCTGATCGATGAATTGATTGTTACTGAGAGGAAGCCACACACACACACACACACACACACACACACACACACACTTCAAAGTGACTGTCCTCTTGTCCTCTCCGCCCAGAGACAAGCGGAGGACAAAGACACATTTACATCACAACAGCTTCAAACCAGCTCAGAGCGACTTCACACCTCTGATCCTGCACGAGACGAGACGGGACACGGCGGGAACAGGTCCCTCCTCCGTCCATTCACACACACACATACAGAGACACACACACACACACACACACACACACACACACACACACACACACACCACATTAATGTCCACAGATTTTATGTGTGATCCGGGGCTTTAACGCTCCGCTCAGTTCAGGTTATTTTAACTTCTTCTGTCTTTTTCAGATCAGAAAAGAGGAAAAACCTCCAAATACACATTTAACTGTATTTATCTCCAGTGTAGAGTCAGTCTGCAGACACAGCTGCTCACAGTGAATGAAATGTTCCTCACGGCATAGTGAACTGGTGAACATGAACGCGCACTGTGATGCGCGTGACATCAGGTGGGAGCAGAGGAATAAATAAATATATATTAATGAACTGACAGATTCAGATTTCTCTTCTGGAAATGTGCGCGGGAAAGCGCATATTAAATTAGGCCACGTAACAGCTCATCTGCATATTCAAACACTTTCATAACATTCATTCATTCATTCATTCATGCTCTGTCCTCACGGCGGTCTCCTCCATGCTCAGTGATCTGATACAAAGTGTTTCCATCTGCTTTATTTCACACATGAAGAAGTGTCTCGTGTTTTTGTCCTCGACAAATAAATAAAGTAAATAAATTAATAACATTTCAATAGAATACCAAACTGTCTTAATGCGAGCAATAAATTACGAAAGTTTCATATGTGTGAGCGTGAACCTGAAACATTCATCATCCATCAAGACAAAGATTTAAAATCTCAACATCAAACTATGTCTGACGTCACATACAGAGAAACGTCACTGTTAAAAGTTTAGCTGAAAAAAATAAAAATAAAGGAGCGATGGAGGCGAAAATGTGGAAACTGTTATTATTATTATCATTATTATTATTATTATTATTATTACTATAAGGCTATATATATATATATATATAGCCTACATACATACTGTCGTCAGATACAGTCTGAGAGGAGCGTCTTCACTCCAATAGGCCTACCTTCTGCTATTAATAATAATAATAATAATAA